AGGCATTTGATTCTACAAACATTTATCAAGTCACTCAAAGTTTGTTTTGTGGGGTTTTTTTTGTGTGTGTTTTTGGTTTGTTGGTTTGTTTGCTTTTGTTTTTTAAGATTAGAAAGCTTGGATCTTGAAAGATATAATGGAAGTTGGGTCAAAGAGATTTGAATTCAAATTCTTGTCTTTCACCTTCTTTTCTAAGTGATCTTGGGCAAAGTGCTTGGCCTCTCCACCAGCTTCATTTCTACTAAATTGGCACGATAAAGTCTTGGGACTTTATTGGGGTTGCTGTGACAGTGAAGTGGGATGTGTGTACAGCAATGAACATAGTACATGATGCATAGTCTGGTGCCTGTAGTACCTGGCAGGGCCAGGGCTATCCAGTTGGGCACAGCTGCACAAAGCCACCAGCTCTGCCTGGGTGGGCACTTCCCACGTGGTGCCCATGCTCACACTCTCCATCCCTGACCCTGTCCTTACCTCCCACCTGGACCAACATGTTCCCCACTTTCTTGACACCCTCTTTACTACTTAGTGTCATTTTTCACTCTTGTCTCACCGTTCGGATTTGGTTCATGTGTATGCCTTTTCAGCTTTGACTTTGACTCCCCAGAAACTGAATCTGGCCCNCCCAGTTTTTAGGAGCACCACCCAGGCTGCTTGGTTCATAGCCCCATGGCTGTTTGGCAGCGCCCAGCACTGCTCTCATGGGCTGTAAGTACTCAGTCTTACTAACCTAAGACTCCTAGTCAGGACAAGAGAATCGACACAAACCAGTCCCTTGGCCATAAATGGCTGCTGTTGGAATGTTATCCATCTCTTTTTATAACATGGCCCTTGCATCCTAGGATAGGATTCCAAGGATGAGAGGTTTCCTTCAGCTGCAAATCTGGTGTGTATCAGTCAGGGGCTTTTCAGAGGATCAGAACTTTTAAGTGTCATGTGGAATAAAGGATCATAATGACCACATTATTTTTGGACATTGGTGGAGAAGTCTGTGTAAGACTGTTGAAGACTGTTGCCTTCGCTCCTGGTGTTTAACTGAAATCAACCAGGTCATCAGTTGAGAAGGAAGGCTTGATATGATGTTGGCAGAATAAGGATCAACCAGAACCCATGAAGACACAAGGAAACCTGTGTTTGTCCTTTGCTACCCCCAACCTCAATGGTATGAATGACCTTGCAGGAGAAGCTGGTGCCCTTTGCATGTAGTTGCACCCTCTCCTGATCCAGGACTCAGAGAAGCAGAAGAGAATTTCCAGAAGGTGCTGGAGGAGCTGTGGACCTGGGTGCAGTCCCACCCCAGCAAGGTGGCTGGCAGATCAGGGGCATTGTGCAGTAAGTGCCACATGTCTGATATGCTCAGCCACTCTCAGATCATGAAAATAGCTGTTGCTTCACTCTACTTTCCAAATCTCATGTGTTTCTTTTGTGCCCACTCTAATCTGGAGCCACACAGGGAAGGGAATTCTGCAACATAGTTTCCCTAAGTTGACATGGAACAAAGCCATCTCAAGTTGTGGAATATTAATGCTGGAAAGTGGTTGTCAACTGAGGACACCTTTGGGGAGAGAGAAGCCTTCTGCTTCATCCAGAATAGTTTGGTTCTAACTTCTTTTTTAGTGGTGGTTTGGTTTTCTATAAACACATGTAGCCCCTGACTCTGATGTTCTATCAGCTAGGCTTTGGAGCTGGGGTTGACCTGCCACGACTCCCAGCTAGGTTTCATGTTCTCCTACTGAAGACGGACAGTTGCACAGCATGCCAGGGTCAGTCAGTGTCATTCTGTGACCGTGATGGACCAAGTACGAACAAGACCACTTTGTATCAGGTAATAATAGACAAAAGCAAGGTCTCTATGCAAACCACAAAAATGCCAAACATCTCCCTCTCCTGGCTAATAGGAGTGACTGCTGCTTCTTTGCCAATTACAGAGTTAACTTCAATCTAGGCTTCCTTCCTTCTAGATAAGAGTTATTAAGATGGACTTCCTGACAACATCCAGTCCACTGCCTTGAAACCTCCCCCAAATCACTTAATAGAAGCCTAAATCCTATAAGTTCTTTCTACTACACTGTTAATGAGTCACCCCAGTTCCTGTAATGTATATTCTCTCTCATTGCAAGGACCGATAAATCCAACTTGTTTAACTACAGGTGTGTTTCCGGTGGCCTTTGACTAGAGGGCATTGACTATATGTACACATACATACATATATGGTCTTGTATGTGTGTGTGTAAATGTGTATATACACATACACACATATACATATGAGGGATCTTCAAAAAGTTCATGGAGAGATTCATATTACCTCTCAAGGAAGGAAAGAAAGACCACAGTGGTCCATTGGACTTGCAAAGGGAGAGAACAGACATAGGATTACTAGGGATGGAGGGGGGGTGGGGGGAGATGTTGAGGAGAGGTTGGGTGGGTGACATGGGGAATAATTGCAATTTGTGGTGGTGGGCATGCTGACAGTATTGATCTGATCACCACATCTTGGGCACAGGTGCTGATGGTCAGTTCTATTCCCCACAAATATGTATAATCAATACAAAAAATTCATATTACCTTTCAACTACATTTTTCTATGAACTTGTTGAAGTACACTTGTATGCATATATGTGTCTTCGCTAAATCATGTGGATTTTACTTAAATTTCGTGTACCATACAATTAAATTTATATGACACATAAAATTTAAGTAAAATCTATGTGATTTAAGCAAGACTCTTACTTTCCTTGGAAGTAGCCAGGTTTATACATTAAGTGGAATTTGCAAGTAACTGACACTCTTACCTAAACTCCAGCAGGAATTGAGAGGAAGGGGCTATCTGAGTAGGACAGTGTCTTCAGTTAAATTTTCATTCACAGGGTAGTTAGAACTTCATCTGAATCTTTGGAGTGATAGACAGGAAGTAAGATATTACACGTAAGGAAAGAGTCTGGAAAAAAAAAAAAACATAAGATTAAGCACGGAGAGGGCTGTCTTGGAGAAGGGCCCATTATTTCCCACCATGACCATTTTGTTACAGTGACTGGCTAAGTTGGCCAGCCAAGGTGAGGCCAACTGGTGATGGATCTCAAATGCTAGGCTTAATAATGCGGCTTCTTATTGCCTGTTTGTAAACCTCAAGCTCGTTATGATGTCACCAGGAGAGTGAAAGGATAGAAGGATAGACATGGAGTTCTAGAAATGCCCACCGGGGTGGCTGATATACTAGACAGTGGGCCATG